TAGTAAACACTGTGAAACTGCAGTTTCAGATCTTTCATGGCTGAAGAAAGGGCTTTTCATCCTACAGGTTTTAACTCATTGTCACTTTCAGCTACCCGCCTCCTTACGCAGCAGGTCTGTGGTGGGCTCCAAGGTTCTGTTTCCCCCCGAAGCTGGAGGCCAGAAAGTCAGAGCCCAGAAGTGACCTTCCTTCTGCTTTCACCTGTGAAACTGTGTAATTGGAAAATCATGGGAATGTTTTTTAGTTCCGTTATTTTAAAAATGTTTAATTTTTAGATTTCAGGTCGTCTGTGTCACCACTGTTGTGTGTTGTGCAGGGGGATGTCTGCATTCCCTCTCGCTCTGTGACCGCGTGGAAAGACCTTCCGTGACCTCTCCGGGGCATCGCAGCAGCTGGCGCACTTTCCTCCCAGCCGGTGGGAAGTCAGGTCATCCTTCACCGGCTGTGCTGGCCAGTCCCAGCAGGGACAGCTGCAGTCTGGAGGGGTGGGGCGGGGGGCAGGCTTTCCTCTCCTCTGGCTTCTTATGTGCTGCCAGCTCCAGGATCGGAGGCCTCCCCTGCCCCTCTGGTTCTCTGTGCACTTTGGGGGATGGAGGAAACCTGGCGCACTCGTGTGGGGCTAGGGGCAACCAGACTTTTGCCCCCAACTCATCACCAGACCTCTGGTCTCAGATCAATCCTGTCTCAGATACAATGCTGCAAATTCTTACTTTGGGGGAGAAACTGCCCTTCAATTGTCTCTGTCTAGGACCCGTCAGACCCCGAGTTCTTCTTGGTATCCAGCTGCCACTAGGCTCCCCTGCAGTTTAGTTCAGAAAAGAGGGATCTTTTCTGAGAGGTGGACTCATGTTGCATTTATCTCAGAATGCCCGGGGCTTTCCTTGGATTTTCTTTCATTCAAGGAGATCCCTTCCTGACACAGAGACCCACAATTCTGTTTCCAGATTTTCCCTTCTGAGAGAGGTGGCTGAATGTATTCTGGTTCCACATAGAAAAGACAGGCCCATTACCTGCATCTCCATGTAGTGGCACTTTTAAAGTTGTTTTCTTACATTTCCTAACATTACTAAATAACTGAAGTTACCAGAGTACAGCTCCATGTAGAACTGGAAATAAGACGATTAATAAGTGAGTAAGTTTTTCTCTAGCTATGGATGCTGACCTTTTCTTTTCTCTTACTGTTTTTTAAATACAGACACTTGGAAAAGTTCTGAAGGAACATTCAGACCTGTTCTGTACACAGTCCCTTGATTGTAGGAGTGTACATATCCTCAAGCTGGCACGATTAGTTAGGGTGTTGTGGGGAGAACGGAGGCTCCTATGGCCAGGACCCTCACCTGACCCTAAACTACGTGATGATGTCACTGGCCTGCTGCTGGGCTACTGCTCCCACCCTCTAGGCAATGAGCTGTTGTTGACTGAGTCACTATATGAAGAGCTCTGCCCAGGGCTCTGGGTGGAGGCAGAGATGGAGGTGGGTTACAGACCCGCGCAGGCTGCTGGGTGCAGACGTGATGCCACTGCTTCACCTTCCACCACGAGAACCGGGTATAAACCCTTTCACCCCAAGAATGTTCCAGTGTCATTTCTCAGTCTCATTGAATCCATAGTGAACTTGCCTGGGGCTGAAATGATCAGACAACACAAATGTCTTTAGGGACATATTAACATGTAATTGTTTCTCAAATTGGCTTAAAGAACAAGGAAAAAGCATTAATATAAGAAGTCTCCAAGCAAGGAACAGGAGGGGTCGATCAGTTCAGCAGCACAGTGATGCATGACAGTCCCAGGTTTCTCCCACGATCCCCTCCTGCCCTCAGCCCATCAGCCTGGGCATCTCAGCACTCGCTGTCCTACTGGCCCAGTGCCAGGCTGTCACGTGAAGACGGAGCAAGAGTATCTTGTGTTTCCCTTTCAAAATGATAGATTCTCCCTCATGACCCCCCCCAAGAGAGCACGCCTCACCTCTGTAGGAACCCCTCCGCCCAGCCCACGCTGCGCGGCCACTGCATGCCAGCAGTTAGGATTTAAGCCTGCAACTGGTCAGCAGCCTACAAAGATGGCTATCGAAACAAAATCCGTTTTTAGATTTCGGGCGCGAGAGAGTCTGGTAAGATGGTGAAGTGAAATTATGCACACGGACATGCCTGCCGTCAGAGCCCGCTCCGCTGACCCCCGCCGCTTTACTTCTCACATCTATTAAGCAAACCTTCAAGTAAATCATTAGAAATGTTTGCAAGCTCTGCTTGATTAATTTTTAAAGGCAGAGAGTATTTCATAAGTAACATTTGCTGCATCGGTAGGTAGAATTGCCCTATCACCTCTCCCAACAGTGGGGATGTGGTCGAATCTGAGCAGGTATAATGTGAGTGTCCCTGTATGTCAGTGTGTATTCTGTGTGTCTATGTGTGTCAAACAGAAAAATTCATCCATGTGGATGGAATAGGTAGACGATCACATTGACTGACACATATCCACCTTCCTGTTCATTAAAATATTATTCTTGTAAGCATTACAGGTAAAGAATAATGAAATAAATTGCACTTTGAAAATAGTATTGAAACAGAAATTTCTTAAAAAACACATACATAAACACTGTTATTCAAGAGCATTACAACCAAAAGCTGCCACACAGCAAATTGAGGATTCACAAATGAAACTGAATTCTCACAAAGTGACAAACACTGTTTCCCCAACAGTGACAAAAAGCAAGCCCCAGTGAGCGCATACACAGCCCTCGTCTTGACGCAGCGACTGGGAAATGAAGATCAGCAGCGCCTGCAGCAATCACGAAACCACAGTGTCTTCTGTATGTGAAACTACCAGACTTGTTTATTTATCTTTTGTGTAGGAAACATCAGAGTTGTCTATTTTTAAAAGCACTTTGTTACCTCACAGTTAAGTCACAGATTAGCACTGAGCCTTCGAAATCAAGTTTCTCTGTGACAGCAATGATAGCAGCTGCCTGCCAATGTATTTCCATCAGAAAAGCAACATGATTTTTCCTGACACGTGGTAATTATTTGTATCCACTACTTTCCATATTCTGAGGACTTTAGGGAGTCACTCTCCCCTAGACCTATTTTTAGGTACATCTGAATATCTACAAGAGAGGTTTTCTCCATGCTTGAGTGACCCAAATCCTTATGACACTTTTTTTCTCAAAGAAACGGACACCGGAGAGGTTTCCCACCCAAACATGCTAATTCTTCATAGTACTATTAAGGCAGAAGTTTATAATTAAGCTTTCTGAAAATTTTTGCGGTGGTTGATACTAAGTAGTTAAATCGAGCATCAAAGCAGTCAGAGAATCAATGTTTGCTTTATTCTGTGGTTCAAACTGGATGAAGTCCTTACTTAAATTTTTTTCAACTTTAACCCTCACCTGTTCCGACCTGCCCACTCCTGAGTAGGAGAGACAAGGAACATTGTCTTACTTTGCTCATTGCATGTGGTGTAGCTCTACTGCAGGAGAGTGTTTTACCCTGCAGTGGAGATAAAGAAGTGGGTAAGAGGCAGCTGCATACAGACAGGGCGCACTCTGTGGCTCAGCTTTCCTCCCTGCATAAACTTGTGGTGAGGTGTGTTATTCAGTGAATACGGACGAACTATTTGCTTAGCAGACTTTCAGTTAAATTGTGTCAAACCATTTCCTCATCAGGAAACAGGTCCCCGATTTATGGAGTAATAACTTCCTTTTGTTCTCTAATAAGAAATCCGAGAGCATATGAAAAGGCACTTCGTCTGTACCTGTCTTCAGGGAAGTGCAGTCATGCGACTGCTGTGGAGGGCACGCAGGTCACCGTGACTGCTTGCCTCATGTCTGGGCAGGGGGAGCTGTCCTGCTGCCTTTCGGGAGAAGCGCTAGCCCCCTGTTTCCTCAGGGTTGCTCCCTGCGTGACCCCAGATGGGGTACTTGTTTTAAAGTGCATGTAGCTGGTCAGTGGCTCTCTTATAAGACGGCTGGGCATGAAGGTCTCTGCTCAGTACAGCAACTAAGGAAGTGGTAATTCCTGAAAGCAGTCAAATTATTCCCTCTCTCTTCAGAATCTTTGCAGCAGAATACGGAGAGGAGTGGCCCCGCAGACGCAGGAGAACGCAGACCTGCAGAAAGGAGCAGAGGCTGCGAGAGTCCTGAGTGAGGGAAGAGGGATTGGTTTCCAGCACCTCCTTGAATGCTTATGTTTCTCTGGTGTTTAGGTAACAGTAACACACACACACACACCTGAGTAAGTTTCAGTTACTGTCAGAAAGCTTTAATACAGTCCTCAAGTTAATTCTTTATCTTTATTGGAACATTATCTAGTCATCTCCCTGACTGGCCTGGAAACAAGGACTGTGTGCAAACACTTGTATTAGCTGACGTCTGACACACACAAGCTGCACATTCACTTACAGAAGAAGACTTCCCCTGAGAGCTTAGAGAACTGCTAACCTGGGGGACCAAAGTAATCACTGAAAAATCTTTTAACATGTTTAAATGTTTTAAAAGTCAGTTAGACAGTTCTTGGAATTGCAGACACCTTGGAAAAAAATAACCCCAGTAGGTAAAAACAAGTCTGAGGACATCACACTTTGTGAGACAACGAGGAAACAGGAACTGAGGACAGTGACTCTGCGACACCTGGGAAAGGTGTTTGCTGGGAAAAGCCTTGCTCATGTTACCTGGACACGTGCACAGAGATGTCTATCGTGGCACTGTTTATAATGATGAAAAATATTCAATAGAACGAATTAACAAAATATATTTCATGTGATGAATGAATGTAAATAATGAAAGAAAAATGGAAGCACCTTGAATGTAGTTTGTTCCACATTCCTGTATGCCTCGCTGGGTTCTCAGGGACAGTTGTCATCCCATGTAAAAGATGAGGAAAGTGAATCACAGCGAGGTCATGTATTTGGCCCAAGGAGAGTAAGGGGTGGAGCCAGGATCCACACCTGGCTCTGGAGCCCTACCTTTGCTTACATTGTTTCTGTAACTCCTTTCTGAAGACGGCCCAGAAGTGGGTGAGATCAAGCTAATGCTATGCAGCCTTAGTGCCCAGGGGAATCGTGCCTAGCCAGCTCTCGGTGAGTACTCAGTAATCTTTGCTGACATACGAGCTCTTTCCACGAGGTGCTGGGGCAGAGCAGCCCAAAGCCAGAGCACGTCCAGGAGGCAGCGTCACAACAAGGCAGGGCTGGGGCCGCACGAGGCCAGAACTCGGCGTCTCAGACTGCCCTCGCTCTGAGTTGAGTCCGGTTGTTCTGAACACACACTAGACTGGGGCAGATCAGCCTCATGTGCCTCAGTAGATAAGCTGCTTTAGGCAGCTGATGGGGGGACAGGCATTTAGAGCTGGAGTTCAGGCCCATTCCCCTCCAAACAGTGCAGGGCTGAGTGGGGGCTGGAAGCCATCAGAGTGGGGACAGTAGAGGTGGGGCCGCTCCTCAGGACCCCAAGTCCTGAGGGTGACTGAGTCCCTGGCAGCGAGTCCCAGAGGACAAAGATTACGCAGGTTTCCCTACCAAATGCATTCCCTGCAAATAAAAAGCCCACCTCCATATGGAACCCAAATAGGTCCCCACATTGGGTTGCATCCTGTTGATCACATTGCCGAGATCCCACCAGAGAAGTTCCCAGCAGATTTCCGTGCTCCCCTGGGACACTTCATCTTATTTCCTGCTTAAGGGCTGTTCATAAATCACTCTCCAGCTGAGTACGTTCAGTGCTAAAGCACTTAGCTTATCTGACCTTCGCAGTCACTACTGTTCTTGCACCAGCAGGAACGCCCCTGTTCTTGCCCCTTCCCGGGGCAGCCACGTGGCCCCACGCCGGCCAGACGCGCGGGGAGAGCTGCTCCAGCCCAGCGCAGCCCGGACCCCGCCAGGGTGCTGGTCCCGACCCGGTCCCGGAGGCTCAGCAGATTAGGGCACCCGTCTGAGCAGGAGTGTTTGGAGATGCCATTAAAATTCTTACAAAAACTGAAAGTGAAATGAGGAAGGCCGGTTGAGCAATCGAGGAGAAGGGCGAATGCCAGGAAGACCTGCTGTGCAGTAGGGCCGCGATGCGGGAGGGACGCGCAGGAGCCCTCTCCTGAGGGCGACGGCCGCGCCGGGCCCTGTGGCCCATGTGGGTCGCCCCCGGGCACAGACAACAGGAAATGACCCAGTCCCTGTGGTCACTCACTGTGCAGGCCCGGACCTTCGAAGCTCCCGGAGGGAAATGGATGGCTGCGCAGGCCGGGAGCAGGCACGCCTGCCCTCTCGCCTCCAGGCAGGAGAAGAAATGAAACTGGAGCGCGTGTCCATCCTCCCGCGCAAGGAAGGGCCCCCGGTGCGGCTCCCCCAGCCCGGGAAGCTGCTGGCCGTGCCCCTGCTGCTGGCCCTGCTGTCCTGCGGCCTCACGGCGCTGTCCTTCTACCGCGTGGCCGCCCTGCAAGCTGAGCTGGGCAGCCTCCGGGCCGAGCTGCGTGAGCGCCGCGAGGAGCCGCGGCCATTGCGCGCGGCCTCCGCGGCCCCCAACGGGAGCTGGCGCGGCTGCAGCCCCGGGCGCACCGCTCGGCCGCAGGGGCCTCTGCAGCGGCGTGCGCCCTTCTCCTCGCAGGGCGTCTCTGCACCTCCAGCCCCCGGAGGCGGCCACCCCAGGCGAAGCCTCAGGAGCAAGCGTGCCACCCCGGGTCCGGAAGGGACAGGTAGGTCTCGGGAGCAGGTGTGGAGAGCACGCGGCCGGGGGCCCGAGCTGACATAACCTAGGGACTGTGACACACGTGGCTAGAGGGCAAAGCCGAGCACTGGCAGGATCAATAGCCTGCAGATGCGTTTGCCCTTCGAGGAGCAGAGACCTGGAGCCATGCCTTCAGCGGAGAGGAGGGAAAGGGGCATATACAGTTCCTCAAGTAGCTCATTCCTGTGTCAGACGCACTGTCCGTCCCCCCAGAAAACAGCACCACATGCTACTGCAGAATTGGATAGAATTGGATTTTACTCCCTGAGTCAGAGGAGGTCAGCTAACGATGGCCATTTCCAGACGGTGCATTGCAGGCTTGATGCCAACTGAATGTCCGGTGTGGGGGGTTGGGGGGGGCTCTTTGTCTCTGCTTTTAAATAGAAGTGGGAGCAGGTGTGCATATGGGCTTTATTTTGTTTCTTGTTTTAAAAAGAGTTTATCTTACACACACACTGGTATTAAAGCCTTTCTTCCAGGTATGCTCTCTTGGGAGAGCCACACATTCATCACCTTCTTGTAATAGTTCTTTAGTGATTTCTGTCTTTCTGCGTGTTCCACTTGTTCCACAGTTTTACAGATTCCTCAAACCTCAGATTTGGTGGGGCTTCCCAAAATGCTCAATTCCTCTTCCTGCACTTCAAAATTGAAAAGAGCATTTGCATTGCACTTATTAATATTACAATTTTGCAAATCCTTGATATTATTTCCCTGTTCTATTGAAAGCATGTTATTTATGCACCTGGACTATGCCAGGCAGGCATGTACTAGGCGAGGTATTGTCCCACCTACTGTTTCCTTTATCTTCACTGTGACAGGGAGGTAAACAGAACAGCCATAATTACTTACAAATATTTGCATTTCTGCAGGAAGTGTGGGACATACAGACTAGGTGTTTCTCTGTCAGACACATGCACACATACTACATACTCTGTAAAACTAGTTTTTACTAAATGCCTTACTCATAGAAATTTTATAAAACCATTATTTCTGTGTATCTGGTTATCATATATTTGAGCCAGTCATCAGAAAAAAAATACATTTAAACATTTTTAAATGAGGAAACACTCAAATTTTTACTATACTTTAACACACCAGTTATTTTCAAATTGAAAAAATAGAACTTACATACTCTGGTATTTTCTTGTGTCCACTTATCATTATAAAACAAGCATTTTCCCTGTTTCCAAATAATTCCTACCCATCTATATTAGTTTATTTGTTATCATACAAGTATTTAACATGATCACTTCCAATTTGTTTTTACTATTGTGAACATGCCAACATCTGTGTTCAGATCTCATTTGTTTCTGGGAATTATATGTTCAATATAAGTTCCATAGATGGACTATCTGAGCTAAAGACGATGAGCACCTCTATCACCCCTGCCCCCTATTGCCATGTTGTTTTCAAAATGAGTTATAAACATATGCAATCAGAAATGCCAGTGCAAATTCTTCACATTCTTAATAGCAGTTTGCTTTTAAAATTTATTTTGGCTAATTTAATATTTGTTAAACAGTATCTCAAGTTTAATTTGTTGCTTGCTTACAAATAAGAATTTTTCTGCATATTTGATAACTTCTAATTTTAACTTCTGCTAATTTTTAGTAACTTCCTTCATTTATACTATTTTTTTATAATTTTGAATAAATTCTGTATTAGACATATAATTGTTCATCCAAACTGTGATGTAAATATTTTCACAGTATCTTGTTACTTTAACTTGCACAGAGATTTTGATCTGCATATTTTAATGTGATAAACATTTCCTTTTGATTTTCTCTAATATATCAAAGTCAAAAATATATTTATTCATCATCTCTTAAATAGTCTCTGCTACTTTGACTTTTTTATGATCTAGTGTTTTAATTCGGTATTTAACTCATTAATCCTTCTGGTGTTTATTTTGGTAGATCATGTTATGCTTACTTTAACTTATCCTTTCTTCTTGTATTTTTTCCTTCAAAACTGCTGCTAAATAGCTCAACCAAATTTATTAGGTGATTCTTTTTAACTTGTTTGCATTGGATGTTTACTGTTTTATATTAAGTTCCTTATATATGCTTGAATCTATTTTGAGACACTTTTTTTCATTGATTTATTTTTCTATTCATCTGTATTAACATAAACATTTTAATTAACTTTGTAATAAAATGAGTTCAGTGTCTAGTAGGGTCAGTTTTATTCAACCTCTGCTAGTACCCTCCTGCATCTAAATATAGTTTTACAAGTAAATCTTAACTTTACTGTCCCATAGAGGGTAGAGGCTCATTGCAGCAGATTTAACTGAATGAGTCCCACTTCCCCGAACTATCTTCTAGTAATATTTTACAATTTCCTCCCATGTGCAAACTTTTACATATTTGTGTTTTTATGGCATCCAAAAATTGTATACATATGAAGCAAATTCCCCAAATCATTTGCAATTTTAGAAAGTTTGGAGAATAACAGAAAATTCTAACAAAGTGAATCAAAATTTACCGTTTCCACAGCCCAGAGGTAATTGTCAATACATGGTTTGTCTCAGATTTTTATAAATCTGGATATAGAGTATTATGTATATATCCAGATTTTTATATATATATATATGTGTGTGTATATATATATATATATATATATATAGTACATAGTTCATATGTAATTCTGTATGTCTCACTCTATATATATGCTCATAACATTCACAGAGCCCATATGGGAGGTTTGAAGATAAAAACCATAGTTAGTGAAATTGTCTCCATTGTTGTTTTAGACACTATCCTTTTGTGCAGGAAAAATTGATCTTGTTTAGCACTAGTTCAAAACTAATGTATACATATCCAAGGAACATGCCTGCAACTCCATGATTTTTTTTTTCCTGTTTTGTCGGCCCTGTTTTTGGAGTTGAGAAAATTCTATGTATTTTAAATCTATGCATCTTTCTTTTTTTTTTGTTTCCATTCTAGTCATTCTGATTTTAAGTAAAACTCAAGAGCCTTAGATTTTCCCTTTTCCTTTCAAAGTGTGTATGTTCTTCATTATTAATGTTCTGTATATATACATGTTTTAGAACAATTGACTTTCTGCTGGAATTTTGAAAAGTGTAACTCTGAAGAAGAAAAGGAATTTTAACACTGTTAAATTTATGTATTCAAGAATGCTTAATATCTCTCTGTTGACTATCAAATTTTAAATTTCCCAATTACACATAATTTTCCTGATATAATTTTCACTATTCTTTCACAGTTAATTAAAAAGTTTTGTTGCTATTTTCAAATAGCTTGTTTTGAAATAGCATTTTCGAATAGCTTGTTAAACTGTAAGAAAATGTCATTTTCAATAAATGATACAACATTTGATATCATGCTTGTTTTTAAGACACACAGACATACCTAGTGGACTTATACTTAACAGAATTTAATATTATTTTAGATTTTTGTCTAGAATATACTCTGCTTTCTAAATACACTCCTCAGTATCAGTGTGCCGTCATTTTATCTCTGTCAGAAGGTTCGTAGCTAAATATTGCTGAATTATGCAGTGGGGCAGAATGTCACCCATTCTTATTTTTCTATGAACTCACCCAAATTTCACCAGGCACTTCAGTTTTGTTGTGTGTGTATTTAACCTGTAAATAAATTCCAGCATGTGGGCTGCAAAGCCCGCCCTCCAGCACACAGCAAGCCCCCGACCGCATCAGTGTTGGGTACCTATGTCACCCAGGAAGGCTGTTGTCTTTTCATTCGCATATGTCCTGTCTAGTTGTACAGAGACTTTTGTGGTCTGGGTCTTAACTTCTTTTGTACATTTACAAGGATATGTGCACACAGTAGGTATTCCTTTCATTGTTCTGGATCAATTTTGGGCTCAGGGGAAGCAAGATAGAATGATTTGGCATCACTTGCGACGGGGGTTCCCACATTTCTTCACTGACTTGTCAGGTCTTGATCAGAAGCCGTCTTATGAAATGATTTGATATTTAACACAACTGATTAACCAAAGACTGACCCTGAGCACCGGGCTAGAGTCATGGGGAGCTTGGGAGGCCCTTGCCTAGAACCCTCTTTGTTCACCAGGCAGAGGCACAATTTGGGCTTGTGAGTCATAAAGAAACTCCCATATTCAGGGATCTCTTAACTACGATTTCATGGATGTCTGGTTCTACTTAATGTTCCTCGTTCTAATTGGAGTATGATTTACATAAGGAAAAGGGCACATATCTTAAGGACACAGCTTGGTGAGTATTCACAGGCTGAGTGGCTGTAGTGAAGGGGCAGATGTCACCACCATCCGCGTGCCTGCTGGGCACCCCTTCCAGTCCCCCCAGGGGTGGACGCTGCTTTTACATATTTTAAAATTTGGCACTTTGGGTCCATTTTTGTTTTTCTTAATAAGGCTGTGCTTCACATAAGAGTCTCATTAAGTTTCATATGTTTCATAAGATAATTTCTGATTATAATATAACAAACAGAAATGTGGGGAAATCCAGGATCAAAGCATTGCCAAATGGCTCATATTAGCAAAAAATTCACTGTTAAGACCCTAAGTGTTTTTGGGGAAATTTCCAATGGAAAAGAAAACCTGAAAACTAAAATCATATAGCTTTGAAAATATCACACAAAAAATTTCTTCACAGATGGAATCGTGATGACCCATGTTTTGAACCCTCATGTAATTGTAAGTCTGTTCATTTAAAGAACCTAAACATAAGCATCTTCAGAATCCATCAAGAAAACTAATTATTTCAAATGGATTCCTACTGAAATAAAAGTTTATTAATAAAATCAGATGACCTTTGTACTGTCTCTCTTGTTATTTAGTAGAAGTTTAAAAGTTTTCAGAAATCCATATATCTTAGGTTATTGAACGACAGAATTATTTTTTTATTAATAATATTTATTGTACTTGTCTCAATTATAATAGTAAAATAGTGATGAGAATATGAACAATTCAAAGAAATGTAAAAACAAGAGGGTAAAAGAATTACCC